ATGCTTTGAATTGACAGTCTCTATAGTAATGTGCAGCCTAGGGAGGTAGTGTAGCACTATGGAGGATGTTGAAGTATAAGATTTTTCCTATCTAGCTCTCTGCTGTGCCAGTTGATTTTTTGAATTAGTGGAGCTAAGACCGTTGAATTCATGTGGTAATGGTGACTCTGTTTGGATGGTGTTGTGGACTCGTGTATCGAACAGGGTGCTCATGTGGAAAATGGAAAGCATTTGGTCCTCCATGTCGAAATCATCAAAATCCTTAACATGGGGTAAGCCCAATGTGTGTCACTGTTCATTGCATAAAATCGGGTTTTGGAGGAGATTTTAGTGATCCTTAGTGGGGTACTCCTACAAGGTGGAGCTAAGCTGTCTCTAGTACAAGTAAAACTTCCACCCGTTGAACGGTTTGCCTACTTGAGGATGTGTTTTTAAGGGCACGGATAGAGCTTCCGACCCCTCTTAATTTCATTGACCCTCCACACGAGTTGAGGAAAAGGAGTTAAAAGAAGTACCTTGGCGAGCACCAGGTGTACAAAAATTGCTCTTGCTCGACTAATAAGGGTCGACCGTGCGAAAGACTGCAGTTGGAACTCCTGCCAAGTGAATGAAAAAAAAAAAGAGAAAAAGAAATAAAATGAAAGTGAAAAAGGGGTTCCAACGGTGAAATGAAATGAAAGAGCACCCCGGTCCAACGAGTCTTTGGTTGTGAATTGTATGAGTCCCTTTATCCATGAACTGATTGTCTTACTTCCACTACTTCTCATGATCCTGGCTTGAGTCTAGTACTCGCATTGAGAGAGATAGGGAACGTCTTGGAAGACCAGTTGACCTCGTAAGCTGCTATATGATCTAAAAAATCCTCTACCGACGATCGGGGTTGTTTGTTGCTATAGAGGTCTGGAGAGCTGCATTGATTTGAGTTAGGTTTGCTTGGGGACCAGCAAACGGTTAAGTGTGGGGGGATTTGATGACTCGATACTTGCACATATTTTCCCCTTTGTTTCTTGATCGTTTAAGCTTGCATTATCGCTTCTTTGGCCTATTTTACGCTAGGTTGTGTTACTTTGTCACATTTCAGGTCCTAGCACATAAAGTGAAGCGTAGGCGCAAGTTTCAAGTCAATCGAAGATCAATTGGCGACTCATGGGGGGAGAAACTCGGGTATGACTTGAAGAAGAATGGATTTCTACCTCGGTTTGTGACCATATAATCATGTAATCTTGTCATGAGAAAAAAGAGGACGAGACTACGAGCGTCTGGGATCAAACGACACCTGATTTGGAGTCCGAACGAGGGAGAAACGTAGATTCAAAGATAAGGGACCCGGAACTGCAAAATACCCGACCATAATACCCTACCGGGTATTTTTGGCCATCTGATAGGGGATTTTTGGCAGCATCAGAAGGCCCCCCGGTCGTGAACCAAAAATACCCGACCGGTACTAAAAATACCCGACCGGGTATTTTCCCTTTTGCCCAGAATAGTGACCCGGCGCATTTTGTTGATACCTGACCGGTTTCCTAAATACCCGACCGGGTATTCTGACCGGGGATCGCGAACGCAGGCTGTTAAAAGCCTGTTTTGTGCGTTTTTGCAAGGGAGAGCTGGGTTTTGGATCCCAAACATCCAAGGGACGAACCAAAGAGAGAGAGGGCGATTTGAGGGCATTCTTGGAGTGGAATTGGAGGATTTCTTTGCCTTGGAAGCTCGAGGAACAAGCCCGGACTTGAAGACTGATCACCTGAAGATTCTTACTGCAATCTCTCTCTTCTCTATGGAGTAACTTCCCTTCACTTAGGTTTTGAGGAACCCTAGCTATGTTTTTTGGTTGGATGATTGTATGAGTACTCTGACTTGATAATCTTGAGTTCATATTCAATCTATGCATGTTTTCACGATTCAATTCTGCTTTAGTCGAGATTATTGATTCTGCTTTGATCCTATTAGAGCGAATACCTGATTAGGTCAATAGAGCACCATAGATTGATAGTATTGGATCGATTGCTTTAGTCGAGGGTCGATTCACTGCTTTGTATCAATTGAGAACCTCTTTCGATAGAGGGAGTCTAGTTCAGAACGCCTTGATCGGTTGTTCTAGAGAAGGATACGTCCCTCTAGGCAATTGACTCAAGAGGGCCTTGTTCCTTTAGTCGAGACTCAAGGTCTAGTCAAGGATTCTCCGCATTGTGAATGAAAGTGAAACAGGTTAGAGATCATCAATCGTTAATCTGGCTAGTGGCTAGGGGGAATCATACCTAAGTGAGTTCCCAACCTGTAATTAGATTAACTTTAACTGTAGTTTGTTAGAATAGTTTTAGTTCTTCCATCTTAATTTGGTTTGCTAGATAATGAACCGAAGCTGAGTAATAGTAACTCTAGAGACCCGTGGATTCGATATTTATTAATTGAGACACTATACTGCAATCCCTTTCATTGGTTACACTTGACCATTGTTAGGAGTTGTGTCATAGCGAGTCATAAACCCTCGCTAAACGAGAGAAAAATACCCTCGCTTGCTTTGATTTGTTTTTATAAAGGTGATATATATTTGTTTTTATAGTTAGGTGTTACTTAAGAGATTCATACGTGTGCCCTGCAGGTCTAAAACTAGTGGTAATACCACTAGACCAACCCCTTGATTGGCTTGATAGCCTTTGATTTTAACCATAGTTCTTCTTCTAAGTCTGCACGACTAACTCCTTGAGCGTCCAGACCTTCATTTTCTCTTGATACACTTTCATGCAATATGAAATTGACAGAGATACACCAACAATCTCCGATTGAGTGATTTGCTCTTTCCTACCCATTCTTCCTTGTTTGCAGAAAAAAAACTATGGGATTTTATTGATAGACAACTTTGCTTACTTCTCTTGACATTACACGGGAAAATAAAGGTCCATAGGAGGTCGGATACTATGCCTACCCTCAAATGGGTTGGCTTTTTGATGCCCCTTTTATGATTGGCAATTTTATTTCAATCATTGGCAAGTATTAATTAAATTTGTTTTATATTTTTTTTAATCTTGTAATTTGGGTTCTCTCACCCCACATTGGAAAGGGAAAGAACTTGGGGAACCAGAAAAAAGCAACCCCCCCCCCCCAATGTCCAATTAATTGCCATTTTTTTCTTCCTTTCGTCTCCTTCTCTCTCCATTTGGGCCCCATTTCCATTTTGATTTCAGTTTCACGAGCTCCGGTACTCTGATACATGTATCACTGAACTGATACATGTACAACCAATCTGATACGTAAACAAACAAGTAACTTCTCATTAGTATTACCACTAACCGTGCAATACAATGTGTTATAAAAATGGGAAATGCCAACAACTATAAAATATCGAGCAAATGTAACTAATAAACATGAAGTCACTAAGAAATTGTTTGTGGGATGCACTTCTTGCCGCTAACATCATCGGTATGTTTCCTCTTCCTCTATCCTGTTATCCTTGCTGGCACCCTTACTCGAGGAAGGAGTCTGACCTACCCCAACTTCTACCCTAGAAACATAGCTTGCAAGCCCCTGGCTGTTGAAACCACAGGATACAGTCTCTTCATCCTTGCCATTCCTGCTGCCATTGGTACACACAATAATCAGAATTATCAATTCAGTGATAGAATATCCTACAATATAATGATTTTCTTAGTACCACTACAGTGATAGCCCTACACACAAAAACATTACAACGAACTACCATCGTAGTGATAGATCTACCATTGCACCGAGAGATCTACCACTGCAGCGATGGACGCACTATGTCACTGTAGCGATAGATTTACCACAGCAACGATAAATCTACCACTTCAGTGATAGACACATTATGTCACCGCAATGATAGATCTACCACTGCAGTGATAGATCTACCACTGTCGTGATAGACACATTATGTGGCTGAATCGAATTCGACCTACCAAGAAAGAAATTTTTACAAAACTACAACTGTCGTGATATACTATACTGAAGGAGACCAATAAATATATGAATTGTGGTCGTTCAAGGAGAATTGTCTCACCTTAGGCAAATCCTAGCGCCGCCACTATCTGATTATCGAAGCTCTTTCGCATATAGACGGTTGTTGACGGGAAACGATCAAGCGCAGTAGAAGAAAAAAAAAGACAAACCAGGTTCGAAATTGAGGGTTTGGGATGGAAGACGGAGGACGGCCGACTGGAGGGATGGGCCGACCGTTGTTGTTAAGGAGAGGATGGGTTACGGCGGGGGATAATGATTAGATGCGACGACGGAGAAGGGTTACGGCCGGGGACGGTTCTGGTAGAAATGGTGCGGGAGGGTTTATTGTTTCTAAACAAAGAGAGAGAGAGAATGAGATGAAACGGTGACATAAAAAGGGGAAGGGGGAATGAATTTTAAATTATGTTTGGGAACTGCTTCTTTCCCTTTTCAATGTATGTTGGGATCATTAATTACATAATTAATTGCAATTTACCAACTGTTAAATTCCTACCATTAGATTAACAGAAGTGAGAATGGACGATAAAGAAGTGAGAGATAGTCACGCTAACCAGTCCCGGTCTGTAGCAACTAAAACCGATTGATCAACCTTTACTAATCGAAATAACTAACTCACATGTCTAAACTTATTAGCTTGTTCAATTTGGATCAGAATAATGCTTTTTAGGCCATTAAAGAAGAGAGGTGTAAAGTTTGAATATTCATAATTCGTGCTTTCCAAAAAGTCACACCTCGAAGATGTTGCAATTCCTTTGCTTGCATGTTTTGCGTAACGACAATAGCAATACAGATTTTTTTTAACATTTGCCTTCCCCAAAATTTGCCATCTCGATTCTCATCTCAATTCAATATTGTAAATGGTCTCATGCATTCTTACATTTTTCTTTAATTACATGTCTAGTGTTTGACGACTGGTTCAACGAAATCCAGTATATAGACTTCAAAACTTCCCATAATATCTATCATGCATATTCCATACTTTGGACAACTATGAGTATTAAGAATGGTAATACGGAAAATTCAAACACAAGATGATATTTCTAATCCTGAATCTTAAGATCTCAAGTTCGAATCTCTTAAATAGTATTAACTATTAAGGGCAACAGATACCCAAACTTGAGAAGAAGAGTTCACTACTAAGAAGTAAGTTAACCTTATAAAACAAGAGGTACAGTAAAAACAAAGTTAACAAAAAGGAAAACCCCTAATCTCTTGTCTCACCCCCACAAATTTTACAGTTTTACCACTTCCCATAACAAAAATATTGGTCCCAAGTCGTAAACTCATTAAGAAGAAAGACCCACAGACACACAAGAACGTATTAGCCTTCATCCCCATTTTATTTCACATAACTGAGCAGGCATTGGGATTCTCCTCGCTAAAGATTTCGAACGAATCCGACGGACGAGACGAGTAGCCCGGGTACGGCTCCCGATCCCACGGCGGGTGGACGTGCGCGTAGGAATATTGCGGAGGAGCGTAGTAGGACGCACCGTAGCTCGTGCTGGGGTACGCCGTATTGTAGCTCGCCGCGTAAACCGGTGGCGCGTAGTGATAGTGCGGCGGAGGGAATTGATGCGGCTGGTGATGTGGCGGGTGGTGATTGGTCCCCGGGTACGGTCCGTGGACCTGCGTTTGACCCCCACCACCGCCACCGTGAGTGGGAGGAGGAGGAGGAGATCCGCTGCGTGGCGGCGCATCGCAGGGCGGCTGCTCGCCTTCCTCTCCACCGGCGTTTCCATTTCCGCCGCCGCTAGCTTTATTCCCTCTCCTCTTCTTCTTCTTTTTAGCAGCGCCGCCACCGCCTGTCTCGGCGGCGCCACTGTCGAACCCGACTGCCTTCTCCACTACCGGAGGCTCTGCTAATGAACCCATCTTCATCTCCTTAAACTGAACCCCAACTCTCACTGCGCCGCCGTTTTCGCTGCTTTTAGTCGGATCCTGAACCTGAGGAACTTCTGGTTTCTCGTTTTCTCCATCTTCTCCATCGCTATCTTCCTGTTTTTCTCTCTCTTTCCCCTTGGATTTCTTCTTCTTCTTTTTCTTCTGTTCGCCGGGGTTGGATTCCGGCCAGAGCTCCGCGTGCTTCCCAGTCTTCACCAGTTTCCTAATCAGAGTTTCTCCGTCGACGTTACCGATCACGGTCGCCTTTTGCTGCTTCAGATCAACGTCCGTCGTATAAACCCCTGCAGTATTTCAAAGACCGGATTTTTTATTTAGCATAAAGAGAAGAAACAGAGTATTGAAGAACAGAGGAAAAGAATAAACAGAGTTACCATCGATGTTATTGAGGATCTTCTTCACTTTCCTTTTGCATCCTTCGCAGTGAACAGAGACCTTCAAAACCCATGTCTGGAATGGGCGGAAGAAAATGCATGAGATTGATATTTGACAAAAGAAACAAAGAGATGAAATTTCTCATTTTGTGTTCTTCTTACCTTGTATTTCAGAGCTGGCTCTGGAGGAGGATTGGGGGTGTTTTCCTTCTCTTCTGGAACTCCTTCTTGGTTGCCTGGAGGGCACTCTGTTTGAGGAGGCTCTGGTTTAGGAGGCTCTGTTTTTCCTTCTGCGGACGCCATTAGAGAGAGGTATCTGCTTCTTCTCAATTGTGTAGAGATAGATAGATAGATAGAGTGGAGGGCGTTGAGGATGAATGAGAAGAGGGAATTGGCTTAAGAAGAAGTAGAACAGAGAGAGGTAATAAAGTTGGAAGTACCTGAAAAAGAGAGGAAAGCAAATGAAAGGGGAAATGAATGCTGTTCAGCTTCTTGGTATTGATGCTTTTGTGGGGTGGAAAGAAAAGAGTGAAGCTTTGCTGCTTGTTGCCTTGGAATTTCTTCCCTTTTTTGAAATATATTTAGGTGCATGTCATGTAAATGAAATATATTGGAATGGTAGTGTGAGTGTCAATTCTTTTAAGATGGTTGAAAATTGCATTCATTTGATCATATTGAAGTTTGGTCACAAGCAAATAGGGATGGCAGGCCGGGGCCCAAATCCGGGTATCCGCCCGAAGCCCGCCCGATAAGGGTCCATGCGGTTGGGGTTCTCGGGCCCGTCAACGGGTGGCAGGTAACCCGAAGCCCGTCAACCATGGTTTTCGGGTGGTGGTGGTTAGCCCAGTATCCGCCCCGCGCCCAGCCCTGCGACCCGCCCGACGGATTAACCGTGTAGAAAACGACGGCGTTTGGAGGGCGTATATAATCTCTGCTTTCCCTTGGAGAAACCCTAGCAGCCGCCTCATTTTCCATTCTCCCCCAAATCGAACAGAAACCCTAGTTTCCTTCTTCTCTCTGCCTCCTCTCTGGCGATTAGCGATCAGATCGCTAGATAATCGCGATCTGGCCGATTTTTCGTCATTTCCCCTCATCAAATCCTCCATTCGACCAATTGCATGGCTCAAAGAGCAATCATCCGACGAAGATTTCGTCGGCTGCAGTCCAAAAACGAGTCGTTGCCTCGTTGGAAGTCCGAATCGCTGATTCTTCGAGAAAAGATAAGTTCATTCTGGGTTTCTTATCTTTTCTTTCAAATTTCTTCCCTGATTCCCCGTTCCCCTAACTCTCTACTGACTCTTCTTGTACTTGTATATATAGGGGGGGATTCAGAGCGCAGAGGTCGTTTCTCACCACGCCATCTTCTGAGTTCTGAAATCGAGAACAAGAACACCCCAGTCGAGTCAACAGAGAGCATAGACCGAGGGATTTAGCCGAGCGCCCGAGCATCCAGACACAGTCCAGTCGTCGAGGTCGAGGGTAAGTTTCTAGATCTCGTCTAAGTTTCATAATACATACAGGCATGCATTAAATTCCAGTTCTAACTTGGTTTGTGTTTTATTTGTTCACTGACTCTTCTTGTTCACTCTTGTTTGGGCTAGGTTGGTCTCCTTTGGAACTTTGGATCTGGTTTACTGGTTTAGAGAACTGAAGCAGACAGAGTCCAGTCGTCGAGGGTAAGTTTCTTGATCTCGTCTAGGGTTAGTGGTCTCATAATACATACATGCATGCATTAAATTCCAGTTCTAACTTGGTTTGTGTTTTATTTGTTCACTGACTCTTCTTGTTCACTCTTGTTTGGGCTAGGTTGGTCTCGTTTGGAACTTTGGATTGGGTTTACTGGTTTAGAGAACTGAAGCAGAACAGAGTCAGTGAGCAGTGAGGAGCAGTCTACTATCATTGGGTACTCGACAGTCCACATAAAACTCCAATCCGAGAAGGTAATCCCAGTTCTCTCCTAAGCCTCACCTCACTGTGTTTGACTGTTTGTTCATAATGCTGCGACTTGTTGTGACAAACAGTGGATTCACCGAGCTAATAAGTAAATTAATTAAACTGTAAGCGTGATTTTGCTGCTAGAGATGTTTGTTTGCAAGGCTTAATGAGTTAATGTTAATAACTAAGTTAATAACTATTAACTAAGGCTTAATGTTCAGATGGAATGTAACTAAGTTAATAACTATTAAGTATTAACTAAGGCTTAATATATATTATGTCAGATGGAAGGTGCTCCTGCTATAAATGTTGACCTTGCTCCCAATGTGGATGCCCCTGAAAATGGTGTCCAAGTCCAACCTCAACCTGAACAACCTGTCCAACCTCAACCTGAACAACCTGGTAATGTTGAGGAGCTTGAAGCTCAACGTAAGTTAACCTCTGATGTGTGGCCTCACTTTAACCGAGTTAGGGTTAATGGGGTTACGAAGGCTAGGTGTAAGTACTGTCGTAAATCCCTTGGTGGGGAAACAAGTAATGGAACTTCACACCTAAGAACCCATATCAAAACATGTATCCAAAAGAGGATACATGATGGTTCTCAAAAAATACTTGGGCCTAACTATAAACCTGCTGGAAATCCTCAACTCTCTGCTTCTCAGTACAATTATGAGGTTTCTAGGAAGGAACTTTGCTCAATGATTCTGGTCCATGAGTACCCCCTTAGCCTTGTTGATCATGTGGGTTTCAAACGTTTTTGCTGTTCTCTTCAACCTCAGTTCAGTGTTCCTAGTAGAAACACTGTCAAAAAGGACATTTTGAGTTTGTATGGTGTTGAAAGGGGTAAATATCAGACCATTATTGATGGTAACCTGGGGAGGGTTGCAATTACAACTGATTTGTGGATTGCAGAAATCAGAAAAGGGGTTATATGGCAGTAACTGGTCACTTCATTGATAACTTTTGGAAGCTCCGTAACATAATGATGAGATTTATGTATGTTCCAGCCCCTCACACCAGTGAAAGGCTTGCTGATAGGTTGTTTGACTGTCTTTTGGATTGGAACATTGATGGTAAGTTGTCCTCAATCACATTGGACAACTGTACCACCAATGATTCCATGATTTTCCACATGAGAACTAAGCTTCTGAGCAGTGACTTGTTGCTTGATGGTAAATTGGTTCATATGAGGTGTTCTGCTCATATTCTGAATTTGATTGTAAGGGATGGTTTGGATGCAATCAAGGATGCTATAAATTTGATTAGGGAGAGTGTAGTTTACTGGAATTCTACACCTAAGAGGGTTCAAACCTTCTTCGAAGTTGCTAAGCAACTTAAGTTGTCTGTTGAGAAAAAATTAGTCCTTGATTGTCCAACTAGGTGGAATTCCACCTATCATATGCTCTCTGTTGCTATTCCCTACAAGGATGTTTTCTTTCGTTTGAGAGACAATCATTACACATCAGTTCCTTCTGGTGAACAATGGGAATTTGCTTCTACTGTGATTGGGAAGCTGGAAATCTTTTCTGAGATTACTGAGTTGTTCTCTGGTTCCAAATATCCGACTGCTAATCTGTTCTTCCCTAAGATATGTGATCTCAGACTTAAACTGAATGAGTGGGGTCTTGATCCCAATCCTGTGATTTTTGGAATGGCTAGTCAAATGTTACTGAAGTTTGATAAGTACTGGGATGATATCCATCTTGTGCTTGCTGTATCGGTTGTTTTGGATCCTAGATATAAACTCCATGTGATTGAATACTATGCTGGAAAGTTTGGGAATACAGAAACTGGTTTGTTTGCTGAGAATATCAAGCAAATGATATGTGGTTTGATTCGTGATTATCAAACCAAAGGTGAGAAAAAATCTGGTTCTGAAACTGGAACTTCTTCTTCTGGTTCTGGATCTGCCTCTGCCACTGAACTTGACTTTGAACTCTTTGTAAGTCAAAGGAAAAAGAGTAAAGCTTCCTTGATTACAACTGAGTTGGATATGTATCTTGCTGAGGATATCATTCCTCGCACAGCAGAGTTTGATCTGCTCTTGTGGTGGAAATTGAATGGTTTGAAGTATCCTACCTTGCAATCAATCGCAAGGGACTTTCTGGCAATCCCTATTACTTCTGTGCCTTCTGAGAGTACATTTAGTTCTGGTGGGAGGTTGTTAGACCCTCACCGGAGCAGGCTGCATTATTCGACTGTGGAGGCAATGATGTGTACTAGGAGTTGGATAATGGAGGACATGCAACGAGGTAAAATGCAACTATATCTCTCAAGTTTATTGATTTACGTTTTAATAATAGTATTAACTCATTGAACTGGTTCTCTGCAGATTCGGAGGCTGTTGTGGAGGCATTGGATGGACTCTTCTCAACAATGACACTCGAAGATATAACTGTGGAAGAGGCAGAACCTGGTGGTAAGATCAATAAATCATTTTTCCATAATGTGTTCTAATTTCTATTACTTCATTGAGGAATACTTATACTTGCATTGTTTCGCTTTTTCAGGTCCAGAACTCACCTTAATGAGATCACCATTTGCCCATGAAGACTGATTGGTAATCAGCTGTGGGACAAAGGTATAATTGTCTTCTTCATTTGTTGTCGCTGATGCATTATTCATTTAGTCTTTACTAACTGAATCGTTGCTCTTGTGTGTAATTTATTCAGTTTCAATTGATGATTGCTGGTCTGCTGGTTTACATCGATTGGAATGAGGGTCAGGGGCGGTCGGGTGGATGATTTCTCAATGATTCGATGTTGCTGGAATGTTGCTGCGTTGCTGTTGCTGTTGCTTGAACCTATTTTGGGAACGTCCTTCTATTTGGTTGTTTGGTTCATTTGATATTTTCATTTGATCATTTCTAGTCACAAACACGAAACAGATGTTGTTTTTGGTTGTTGTTGCTGAGCTGCTTGGCAAGCTTTCAGAGTTTCAGTTGTTTATTTGAAGTCTTTTTAAGTTTAAACAGACTAGTCAGTATGAAATATGAATAAAGTGTCCAGTTTCCAGAATTTTGTTGTCTTTTTCATTTTTATTTTCATGATTTGGTAGCGGGTATTATAGACCCGCGGGCACCCGATTAACCATTGGGGACGGAGATGGTTATCCATCCAGGCCCGCAAGTCCGTCTGGGCCGGGGACGAGGATACCCGAGGCCCATGGTGGGTGGGCAATGGATCCGGGGTACCCGGCCCCGTTCCACCCCGTTGCCACCCCTACAAGCAAATTAGTAGCCGAACTTGTAGATTTTAAAGAAACCAGTCACTGAAATAGATGTGTGAAATAACCAATGTTGTCAAAACCGAACTGGAGTATGACCCGTTATTGTAAACGGCTAGCACTTTAGTGGTCCAACCGGTATTAGACCGTTAAAAGCCGTTAGAGAACCGGTACTTTATAAACAACAATATCTTAAGTACAAGACATATAAGATAGTAAATTAAAAATTTAATGACTAAAATGAAATATACTTTGCATGTACCATTAAGTAATATTACATTAATATATATTTATAACATAAAAAACCCTACTCTATCCTATTCCCACCCCCTAGCGGCCGCTGCCGCACAACCCCTTCTCTCTTCAAATTCCATCTTCTTCCCACTTTCATCAAAGTAAAATTTCCTCAAAAATCAGAAACACAAACGAAGCTCTGTTTCAATTTCTTCTTCTCTATTTCACTATCGTTGTCTCTACTTCGTCTCTCTAGTCTTCAACTCCCGACCTGCTTCTCTCCTCTTACTTGCCAATCTCTCCTCTTCTGTTTCTCTCTAGAGACGACGAGAGGATAGCGAAAGGAGGACAAGAAGCGAGAGAGGAAGCTCGCTGATGGGTTCATCGATGGGTTGCTGGTCGAAGCCTGAAGGAGAAGTAGTGGAAGTTCGGGAGATCACCCCACTCTACGCAAGTCAAATAAGAACCTAGAATTTTTGTCAATTTTATTTTATTTTATTTCAAACGGTTAGAAATCAAAAACCGGCCGGGTGGTTCGAGCGGTTTGAATGGTTAGCCATTTCGACCGCTCAAAAACCGACCTTTCTGACCGTTCCGGCTTTTGGAGGGTTTCGAACCGAGTTGATGGTCGGGTGGCGGTTTTACCGGTCCGACCGACCGGCTCGGCTCGGTCTTAACAACACCAAATAACGATTATAAGGATAATAATTTTCGCTTCTTCAGTGATGTGCGTAGAAAATTAAATTAGAAGGTTCAAATTAGTAGTGATATTACTAGATCAATTTTTTGTTCGTGTGTAATATCATAAATTTTAGATAGAAAAGTCTAAAAGAAAATACTTCCTTAAATTATTTTTTTAAAGAGTGATATAGGTTTGAGTTTTCTAATTAGGCACCACTTAAGGATTAGAATCTAGAACCTCTGGATTCAAGAAAAGTGGTATTACCATATGTAGGGATAGGGGTGGAAATCGGTACGGTATCGGTATCCAATATCAAATACCGAAATCTCGAATACCGAATTACACCCGAGAATCAATCCCAATCTCTAAATAATTTCGGTATCCCAATCCCAATTCTAATCCCTAAATATTTCGGTATCCCAATCGGTACTTCGGTATCCCAATCGGTATTATCGAATACGAAATTAATTACCTTTACAATTAATAATTAAATATATAAATTAGATTTGATTGTTTAATATAAGATAAAGAGACTAAACAAATAGTTTTGAGTTTGGTTAGAGCTAGGATATTGCATTCATTTGATTATATTGAAGTTTGGTTACAAGCAAATTAGTAGCCGAACTTGTAGATTTTGAAGTAACCAGTGACTGAAGTAGATGTGTGAAATAATGATTATAAGGATAATAATTTCCGGTTCTTCAGTGATGTGCGTAGAAAATTAAATTAGAAGGTTCAAATTAGTAGTGATATTACTAGATCAATTTTTTGTTCTGTGTGTAATATCATAAATTTTAGATAGAAAAGTCTAAAAGAAAATACTTTCTTAAATTATTTTTTTAAGAGTGATATAAGTTTGAGTTTTCTAATTAGGCACCACTTAAGGATTAGAATCTAGAACCTCTAGATTCAGGAAGAGTGGTATTACCATAGGTAGGGATAGGGGTGGAAATCGGTACGGTATCAGTATCCAATATCAAATACCGAAATCTCGAATACCGAATTACATCCGAGAATCAATCCCAATCTCAATCCCTAAATAATTTTGGTATCTCAATCACAATCCTAATCCCTAAATATTTTGGTATCCCAATCGGTATTATCGAATACGAAATTAATTACCTTTACAATTAATAATTAAATATATAATTAGATTTGATTGTTTAATATAGGATAAAGAGACTAAACAAATAGTTTTGAGTTTGGTTAGAGCTAGGATATGGACAAGGAGAATGAAGTAGAGGTGACATCTCAAGTTTTTGTCATTGTTAAGCTTTAATTTGCCGAATTGGAGGCTGGGTGAAGACTAATGCTAGTGTTTGCTTTTTGGTGTTATGAAAATAGCAGTAGATTGGTGGTTGAGGGTAGTGTATTAATGAATGAGAGAGTCTAGTTGAGAGGATAAAATACAAAC